GAGTTGGAGGTTGCTGTGAGCGAGGCTGACGCCACGGCACTCTAGCCCGGGCAACAGGGTGAGACTCTGTCTCAAAAAAATAAATAAATAAAGGAGCTCAGCTAGTGGCGACATGGAATTGGAGGTGAGGCCGGGAAGACAGCCCAGGCTCTGGACAAAGACTTGGAGTTTTACCCTGGTGGAAGCAGAACCAGGAGGCGTGTGAGCGCCAATGCACCAAAACATGGAGAGGGAAGCCGGGGTGCAGGCTGGGGCCATTGTGCTGGAGATGAGGCATCTGCACCAGCCCCCCACCTCGGGGTGCAGGAACAGTGTGATCCAGGGGCCAGTCCACACTCCCTCTGTGCAGCTCTCACGACCCAGGGGCAGGCTCGGGAATGAGTGGCAGGGACACTGGAGGCAGGGACACCTGCTCTGAGCTTTGGAGTTTGCCAGGTGTGTGTGGGGGGACACAGAGAACAGCACACGCCTGAGCCCTGAATGCAGGCCAGCACTCCCAGGCGTGTGGCCAATGCCAGCGCCCCAGCCTCAGGCCACTTCCGCCGGCTGCCCCATTTCTCACGTCTTGATCTAAGCAGGAGGCTGTCCGTAAAATCATAAAAGGTCCTGCCCGACCCACGACAGCCTCAGCCCACCTGCCCCCCGGGAGACGGCAGCGCTCAGGAAGCAACGCTCGCTGCGTGGGCGCGTGGGCGGCAGGCGCAGACCCGCTGTGCGTTTAGCCCTGGCAGCGCCAGGGAGACCAGGCCCTGGGAGGCCCTCACCCCTGCCGAGGTGGTCTGGCGGTAGGGGCGGGTCCAGGGCCCTCCACCGTCACACCACGCTGACCTTCCACCAACCTCCGCGCAACCTCCACACCCACCTGCACCCGCTACCGTTAGACAACGGCTCAGAATGACATCATCCCAGATGGTGTCTCTTTCTGGAAATATGGCACCAGCAGGAGCCTCAGAGATGCAGGAATTTTGGATTCTGAAAATGCGAATGTCAGATTCTCAGCTTGTGCCAGGTGCAAACTGTCTCCCTTTGCTCCAAAGTCTGAGGGCTGAGCCCGGCAGAGCGGGCGAGTCTCCCCGGAAAATCCTCAACAGCAGCTTGTTCCTGAGAAAAGCCACCCTTGCCCCTCCCCACACAGATTCGGGGGGTCCCTGTCCCCCTACCTCTGTACCAAAGGACAGCAGCTTCAGGACGTCTGTAGCCCCAGACCCAGACAGAAACCACCTGTGGAAGAGCCTGGAGGGTTGCCAGCATGCGTGAGGTGAGAGACAATTTGGGGCTAATAAGATCCCAAACTTTGTGCTGTGAGGAGAGTAGGCAGCAGGGTTAGGACGGCCAGAGCACTCGGGTCTCCTGCTGTCCCACCGTGCCCAGACTCCAACAGGGGGCTGAGCCCTGGGGCGCTGATGGCATGTGGCACACCCTAGTGGACCCTGGGCAGACCCTGGTGGATGCTGATGGACCCTGGCAGACCCTGGTGGTCCCTGATGGATCCTAGTGGTCCCTGGTGGACCTTGATGGACTCTGGTGGTCCCTGGTGGATGCTAATGGGCCCTGGTAGTCCCTGATGGACCTTGATGGACCCTGGTAGTCCCTGGTGGATGCTGGTAGACCCTGGTGGTCCCTAGTGGACCTTGATGGACTCTGGTGGTTCCTGGTGGATGCTGGTAGACTCTGGTGGTCCCTGGTGGACCTTGGTGGACTCTGGTGGTCCCTGATGGATTCTGGTAGACCCTGGTAGTTCCTGGTAGACCTTGATGGCCCCTGGTGGTCCCTGGTAGTCCTTGATGTACCCTGATGGTCCCTGGTGGACCCTGTTGGTCCCTGGTGGATCCTGGTAGACCCTGGTGGTCCCTGGTGGACCTTGACTTTCCAGCCCCCAGACAGCCAGCATTCCCCTTCCCACTCAACACGTCCCCAAGAGGTAACTGCTATGACCCCACAGCTGAGCCCCACGTGCTGGAGTTCACATCAATGCCACGTGGCATGAGCTCTTTCACACCTCCTCCCTGACGTCATGTATGAGACCCGTTGTGTGCCTCGGTGTGTCCACACACTCGGGCGTGGACGGGCGCTGCAAACCGCTCTGTTTTGAGCACCTGCGAGCCGGCCTGGGCGAGAACACAGGCAAACACCTAGTGTCGGAGTTCCGGGTCACCTGGCTGCGCAAGTTGGACGTTACCAGAAGCGTGAACCATGGCTGCGCCGTCTCACTCCCCCGCAGGAGCGCAGTGTCTGCCCCAGCGCCATAACGGTCCGCCTTGCTGGCCTGGGCCTTTCTGGGGGGGGGAGGATGAGGTGCATCACCTGGTGACTTCATCTCCGTCTCCCGAGACACAGGTGCTCTCTCCAGGACAGCCCCGCTGCTGCGGCTGGAGTGTCCGGACTCCTCAGAGACACGTCCCTATCGCCTATGACCAACGTCCACAGCGGGAGGGGCGGTTCTGACCCCATCGCACAAAATGGGGTGAAAATAGCTGTTCTGCACCCCAGACAGGAGCTGAGCAGGAGGGGCTGGAGGAGTCAGGAACCGCCCTGAGATCCAGGGCTGGCGGGCTGACCTCTGACGCACACTCGCCCAGCGGCCTGTCCGGGTGCACACAGCCGCGGGAGCACCGCCGTCCTCGCCGACAGGGGACCGACCCGGCCATATGTCCCCCCCAGGGGCGGGCTCGGGGCCTGTCCGCCTGCTGCTCCACCCCAGCGCGGCATCTCTGTGAGGTGGCGCCGGGCACGGCCCGGCCCGCTCTCCCGCCACCCCTGCGGGACGGACTCCGGCACTCGCGGCTGCTGTCGGGAAGGAGCCTTCAGGGCCCACGCTGCCACTGGCCTGTGCACGCGCACACGCACGCGCACCCACCGCCCACGCACCCACGAGCCGTCTGTGCCACACAGTACACCCGTCTGGGCCCCCCAGTCCCACTCTGGGTCCCACAGAGCCCGGGCCGCAGATCCTCTGCTGCGCAGTCCGCTCCCGCCGCGCCCGCTGTCCAGCTGTCGCCCTCTCCATAAATCTCCCGTTCGCTTGGAGAGACTCAATCAATAAGCCGCAGAGCCCGGCATGCGGCCGCAAAGCCACTGCATCATTAAGGCTGCAGTTGCTGGGGATTAATTTGCTAATTGCATGCAACTAATCTGTGTCCTTTTTGTTTTATGTCAGTTAACAGAGTCATTAAAAAAGGCAATCTTCGCCATCGCTGGTCCGGCAGACCGGCTCACCAGAGCTAACGGGACAGCCCCCACATGAGCGGTTCGCGCCGCCGTGTGGCCAGCACCGCCACCCTCCGCCACCTGCCCAGACAGAAGCTCCGCCCATCCAGCCCTCCCCCCCCCAGCCTGCAGTCGGGCCTGCCCTCCCCGCGGACCTGGCTCCTCTCGGGACCCCGCGCGGATGTGTCCCTCGTGCCTGGCTTGTCACTCGGCATGACGTCCCCTGGGTTCATCTGCGCTGGAGCCCAAGTCACCAGAGCCTCCCTTCGAGGCCAGGCACTGCGCACCGCGCGCTGCCACCAAGCTGCGCTCGGGCGTCATCCGCGTGGCCGCGCCCCCTCGGCCTTTGGGGGCAGCCCAGCGAGCCAGGCGGTGCAGACCGCGGTCCCCGCCCTGCGGCCAGGTCTCCGGGGACGTGCCCAGAAGTGGGATTTCCAGGATGCCTCATTCTTTCACGGTTTCAGGCTCGCATGCCTCCGGAACAAAACGCACTACCATCCTGCCCGTCTCCAACTCCCCGCGAATGGCATCGCTGTGGGTTTCTGTTCTGATCACCTGCTGCTTTCACGGCCGTGGCGACTCTGAAACCCCTCCGCACGGTGCACACGCGTGTTCATCGCGTGGCAGTGTGGTGCTCCGCGCTGCGGCCACACCGGGGGTTTATCCGCCTGCCGAAAGGCATCTGGGGGTTTCCAGGATTTGGGGCTCGCGCACGTGTCTCGCCATCCCGTGGGGGGCCCATCCGCGTGTCCCAACACGGCAGTGCCAGGAGCAGCCGGCGTCCCCCACCCGTCCTAGGAGCTGGTGCCTGGGCTGGTGTGCCCTGGGCTGGTGTGCCCCAGCCATCCCGATGGCGCGTGCGCATCCCCACGGTGTCAGCGTGCGCGTCCCCACGGTGTCCGCGTGCGCGTCCCCACGGTGTCAGCGAGCGCGTCCCCACGGTGTCAGCGAGCGCGTCCCCACGGTGTCCGCATGTGGGTCCTCACGGTGTCGGCACGGTGTCGGCGAGCCGGTCCCCACGGTGTCGGCGTGCGCATCCCCACGGTGTCCGCATGCGCGTCCCCACGGTGTCGGCGTGCGGGTCCCCACGGTGTCGGCGTGCGCGTCCCCACGGTGTCAGCGAGCGCGTCCCCACGGTGTCCGCATGTGGGTCCTCACGGTGTCAGCGAGCGCGTCCCCACGGTGTCCGCATGTGGGTCCTCACGGTGTCGGCACGGTGTCGGCGAGCCGGTCCCCACGGTGTCCGCGTGCGCGTCCCCACGGTGTCGGCGTGCGGGTCCCCACGGTGTCGGCGTGCGGGTCCCCACGGTGTCGGCGTGCGGGTCCCCACGGTGTCCGCGTGCGCGTCCCCACGGTGTCGGCGTGCGCGTCCCCACGGTGTCGGCGTGCGCGTCCCCACGGTGTCGGGGTGCGCGTCCCCGTGCACTGGCGGCACTTCTGGTGGAGCTCCGCTGGGGAGGTGCCAGTTCACGCGTTTTGCCCGTTTTCCCACGGAGTCGTCTTTTCCTCACTGACATGCGGTGCTTCGTGTTCGGGTCCTGAGCTCTTGCAGGTTGATGAACGGCGACATCGTCGCCCTGCGGCGTCTGCGGACAAACAGGGTCTTCGCCTGGACGCAGGCGACTCGGTGGAACCTTCGCTGTGGCCGGCGCGCCGGCGTCCTGCTCCCGGAGCCTTCCCTGCCGCCAGGTCCCGGAGCCGGTTTCTGTCCCGGCTCCAAGGCTCCGTCCCCTCCAGACGCCACACAGGCCTCTGAAACGTCACAAGCGGAAGTTTAGCGTTGCCGCGTCTTCCCTGCGCGGCGGAGAGAACAGACTTCCTCCCTCCACGCCGCGCTGGGTGGCGAATCCCCGTGAGGGTCGCGCCCCCAAAGTCTCTGCAAACCGGCCCCGCTGCTGGGGACACTGAGCCACCGGTACCGCCGGGTGGGCAGATTCTGGGGGAGCCGCCGCCCCACCCCCACCTCATGGTCCAGGACTCCGGGTCCCCTCCAGGGGGGCTGCAGGAGACGCTCCCACCCCCACTCAGCTTTTCCGTGGAAGCCGACGCCCGGAGCCTGCAGACACCGCGACACCTCGGGGTGCCCCCACCCTGCCCACTCCACGGTCAGCCGGGCCGTGCTCCCCTCCCCCACGCTCCCTCCTGGGACCTGCTGCCCCCACCCGTCACCAGGCGACGGTGCCGCTCCCTCCATTGTGGTGAGCGACTGCGGGGGGGGGGGGGGGGGCGGTTACGACTGTCCCACTGCGTGACATCATAATAGGCTGCTGTCCCGGGAAACAAAGGCTCTCAGAGACGGCAGGGGACACGTCCTGTTTATGTCGTCACCGACTAGACAGCAGTGGAGACAGGGACAGGATAAACATCTGTATGCGGAGAACAACAATAACGCTTCTCCCCCTTTTATTTCGGAACGCTGTTAAATTATGCCCTGCGCAGCGCAGAGAGGGATTTTTTGTGTGTGTGCAGGTGGATTAATAAAAAAACCCATTGAAATGCAAAATGAGGTCTCCCCCATCAAGCCCCCACCCTAAGAGAAGGAAATCGTCACCCGACTCACATCCCTGCCAGGGAGACCGGGCGGGTCTGCGGCTGTCACTGTCACCGCCCAACCCCGAACCCCCAAGAGGGGCCACTGTGCAAGTCATGAACAATCAGGGTGGAGGGTCCAAGCCCCGAACCTGGGGTCTCTCAACATCCTTAACATCACCACCACTATTTTGGGAAAAATAAATCCAGGGGTTGTTTTATTATATGCAAAATACTCATTACAGCTGAAATTCCCAGGGCACGACCCCTCGGCACCACCTGAAAGTGGGAAATTAAATCCGAGGCTTACCTGGGACAAGGTGTGTCACTGGCCCCCCAAGTTGCCCGGTGGTTCACCCCACACGGCTCCAGCCTCACACCTGTCCTGGGTGGGTGTCAGCAGCCTCTGGGTGGCCCCAGGGTGGGTCCCGTGCCCGCCCCCTTCCCGGGGCTGTGAAGAACCTTCTGCTGAGCACGGTCTCTCTTGCCAGCCCTGGAGAAGCAAGTCTGCCTTTGTGGGAAGGGCTTCTCCGTTAAAAATAAAAACATCAGGCCAGGCATGGTGGCGCATGCCTGTAGTCCCAGCTACTCTGGAGGCCGAGGCAGGAGGATCGTTTGAGCCCAGCAGTGGAGACAGGGACAGGAGTTTGAGGTTGCCGTGAGCTAGGCTGACGCCACGGCACTCACTCTAGCCTGGGCTACAGAGCGAGACTCTGTCTCAAAATAATAAATGAATAAATAAATAAACACAGCAAACCCGCCCACCCCACCGTGCGATGGCTGCTCCCACCTGACCCGTGTCATCGGTGGCGGCACTGGCCTCCCCGGAGCCTCTGTTCCCAACCCACAGACGCAGGTCCCCGGGCGGCTGTGGTGTCAGAAGCCAGGGACACTGCCCGGTGCCACTCGGAGCGGACGGAGCCCCCCCCCCCAAGGGGTTCACGGGTAACTCGCCAGTAACTGGCATTTGGAAACACGCCTGGCGGCCAACCCTGACTCGCTCTCCTGCTTAGAAAGGGGGGCAAGCAACGCTTTGTCCTGCGCCTTGCTGGGCATGGGCTGGCTGTGACCCTGCCTCGTGACCATGGCCACACGGGCCCTGGCAGGCGACGGGGCCTCTCTGGGTGTCACTGATGGCGTTTCTGTTCTTCCTCCCAGGGGCCTGCAGGACTCGCCGGGGTATATGCCAGGAAGACTCTGGAACCCCACAGCCGGCAGCACCGCCCAATGTGCCTGTCACATGTGGCATCAGCCCAGGTCCTAGAGAGAGGCGGCTCTGAGGGTCATGCACATGCGATTGTGCACACACTTGCACGTACACGTGGACAGATATACACACACACCTACACACAAACATGTACACACTCCCGCACACATGTGCAAATACATACACCTGTGCACACACAGGCACATTCACAAACGTACACGGAAACACCAGCACACGTGCGCACATACGTGAATGCACACGCACACACACGCAGAGCCCAGGCACACGGCGAGAGCCATCGGAGCGCTGCCAGGTACGCAGGCCACTCGAGGCAGCACACACCCTCCTGGTTTCACGCAGCCTGGTGAGCTCCGGACCTCAGGTGCAAGCAGGAGGGGATCTCTCCCCCCGACCCCCGCCCCGTCCAGGTGGGGCCAAGCGGAGTGGGGTGGGTGAGCCAGCGCCAGCCACAGAGGACCCCGCAGGCCTCCCCCGTGGCAGAGCCTCCGAGGCTGGGATCCGTCTTCCACCTCCTTCGTCCTCACCACCGGGCAGAGGGGCGTCGATGACAACTGCCACACCGGGAGCCGGCCACACCCCGGACACGGCGCCAGCCATGACAGCCCCGCCTGTGGGACAGGCCGGCTCGCTCGCCAGAGCCGCAGGTCAGACCCTCCCTCCCAGCAGGACTCAGAGCTCGTGCTCACCCGGAGACCCGCACACCGCAGCTCGGCAGAGCGGCAGGGCAGGCGGAACGCAGGTGAGCCGGGAAGAGCCCCACGGGCCGCCCAGAGCCGCACCAGGGCCTCGCCCTGCCCGCCCTGCCCTGCCCAGGAGCACTGGCCGGGAGAGTCAGCGTCCACTCCAGGACCTCCCTTTACTGCTGCTGCCAGCAGCTCCGGGAGGCTCCTGGGCTGCCTCTTGCTCAGACGGGTGCAGTAGCCCAGGGGCCCCTTCCCGCCAGCCCCCAGAATGAGCTCAAGGAGTGGCCCAGGTCGTCCTGGAGCCAGCTTGGACCCCCTGGCCCCTCGTGGGATGGCCAGGCCCCGTGCCCAGGACTGCTGGGCCCCTGGCACAGCGCCAGCCCCACACCTGGCCCCATTCTCCAGGTGCTCTGAGGTGCCTTCCCTCCCAGGGACCCCCTGCCCTGCCCCCTGCGTCTCTCCCCAGGCACCGCTGCCTCCAGCACTGGCTGCCACACCCCTGGGCTCCACCACACGCTGCTGCGCCCACGCTCACAGCTGAGGGGAGACACCCGAGAGCCAGGCCCCTCCCCTGGGGAGAGCAGACACCTGGAAGACGCTGGCCACCGACAAAGGAGCCTACCAGGTCTGTCACAGCCCAGCCCCAAGGCCTCACCTCCGGACACCATGGCTCCAGGCAAGAGCCCCTTTCGCCCCACCGGGCAAGCACAGGTGTGGTCACCTGGGGCGCTGGGAGCTCTGGAGCCTGTGGTGTCCACACAGGGCTGGCAGGGCCCTGCGGGGCAGCGAGGCAGTTGCCGACCCCAGGCCCCTCCTGCCTGAGCCTCAGGCCGCCAGGTCACATGCGGACGTCAGCCCCACATGTTCGCAGCGATGACAACCACAAACAGCCCCCCCACTCCTGGCAGAGACCCACTGTGGGGTGACGCAGCCATTCTGACCCAGAGCCCACCTGGCGGTGGGCTGAGCTGGTGAACTAAGCCGCACCCAGGGGGGCCCCAAGACCTGGGACGCGGCTGCAGCCCACTGGGTTTGTCCCCAGGGCTCCGTCCGGCCTCATGGTTGGACTCCGCCTTGTCTCGGACGCCGAGCCAAGTGGCCACGGGGCGCAAGTGTACCTGGTGTCACAGAGAGAGGCGGACCCTCGGGGACCCCACACAGCGAGGGCGGGACAGGGCCAGGCTGCCCCTCTCGGGCTCATTTGTTTTGCTGCCAAGTGGGAGGCCCAGGCAGCCCCTTTGTGTCTGGCACGTGCTGCTGGCACCACGTGGCCACGTGCAGAGAACCCCACAGCCCGGCCCCGCCCGGTAGGAAAAGGGGCTGCCGCCGCCGCCCTCCGGTCCCAGGCCGGCAGGATGCGGGCAGGTGGCCCAGTTCCCAGGGCTCCCTGAACCTCCCTGGAGCTGATGCTGGTGCCACCGGAGCCCTGATGCCCTTGAGGACACTCACAGATGCTGGATGGCAGAGGCTGAGAGGTCTGGGAGGCTGGGCAGGGCCCCGCGGCACCCGGGCCAGGCGTGAAACTGGGACGGGAGCTGCCAGGGTGGCCGAGGAGATATGCCGTGTGTCTCACTCAACGCTGGTCTTTATAAATCACAACTCGCAAACCTGGTGCATTTTGTTCCCACTCCCGCTTTGTAAAATTCTTATGGAGCTTAGATTATCAGAGGGTCGGAAAAAAAAAATGCTGACTCCTAACCAGGCGACTTCAGAGCAGATGCGGAGAGACCAAGCGACTTATTTCCAAAGTGGAGCAGATTTCGAAACAGTCAGAGGCGGGGCATGGGGAGGAGTTTGCTGCCTGCAGCTGGGAACGGCTTGCCGGGAGGGAGCAGGCACGGGTAAAAGCCTGCCTGCGGAGACAGTGACACCAGCCAGGTGAGGGACTCACTAAAAGCCCCAACTGCAGGTGCAGCTGTGCGGCCACCAGACTGACTTCCAGCAAGGAGGACCCAGCCCCCGGCAAGGCTGCCCCAGGGCCCAGCCGTGCCCTTTGCTGTCCAAAGCTGGTGGGAGGGTGGGAGGCCCAGCTACAGCTGGCCCACGTCGGGGAGGCCGGCTAAGGACAGCAGAGACCCCCCCACTCCCAGCCCTGGCCTGTCGCATGGACGAGGGGCCATGCCCTGTGTCCCCAGGGTGCCCCAGTCCTGCCTCTCTGCTGTCCAGCATGGCGAAGGGTGGCCCCATCTGAACAGGAGGACGTCGGGCTGAGGGCCAGTGCTGGGGGCGTGAACCTCAGAGTCCTGGAGCCTTTTAAGACTTGTGGGAAGGGGCAATTCTGCCCCCAGATTTGAGGACTCATGGAGATACCCTGAGGGCAGGGAGACCACAGACGCCCCAGGACCCTGTGATCAGATCAAACCCCCCAGACTAAGAGCCAATGGCTAGGAGGTGAGGGTGGGGTCTGGGTGATCCCAGGGTGGGAGCCTCACTGGTCCCCGGGTGGGGCCTAGACTCAGTGGGTGCCCAGACGTCCCGGCCACAAGAGCCCTCTGCCAGCCAGTGAGAGAACGAGGCAGGGAGGTCTTTCCTGGTGAGACACCCCATGAAAACATAGCCCCTCGACTGAGGTCAGTCAGAGTTCAAGAAAGAAACTGCTTTGGTTGGCAGGCCCAGGAGAGCTAGACATGGGCCTGGGAGAGGCAGGGAGGGGCAGGTGGGGCTGGGAGGGGCAGGTGGGGGCTTCGAGCCCGAAGCAGTGAGTTCAAGATCAATGAGGCTAATGCCTCGTCATCAGTTTGGAACTAGGAGAATGATTTTCCCAAAGGGTTTCCTCAGCACCATCTTAATTCACTGTTAACTTAATTAAAGTGTGTCCTTTGGAACCGGCTTTAGAAAGTCTGGACTAGACCTCTCCTGCGAACTGTTGGGCCTCACCTGACGCCTTTTGCATGAGCCCTAGCTGAAGGTAAGGACCCCTC